TCTACATGCTTCTCACATTTTAAGCCAGGCCCTCTATTGTGTCCTTGGTCAGAATGGTCAGTACCAGGGCCTAGTTATTTTGATCTCAGACTAAATGATCTTTTGGTCTCCGACTAGATGAGACTATGGTTTATCTGGGTTGTTCATCTTGGGGGGCAGATTTTTTTTTCCTTTGAGTCTTTGGTTTCCTTCATTCTCCTTTGTTCTCATGGATTAGAGACCAAGATTTTTATCTTGAATGATTATTTGTAAGCTTTTAAGAATCCAGATGCAATTTCCAAACTAACATGTAGAATATTATCTTTGTGGACTGTGTTATGCCAGTTGACTGAGTTGTCCCACAAGACTACAGACCCAGAAAACCAGTAAAATAATCCTGCAAAGTGTTTGGTTATAACACAGAAATAACCATAACTGTTATTCTTATGTGATTTATTATAAATATTACTATAGTTCACATGTGTATACCTGTATGTACTACAGCTATGCCTGTACATGCACTCATATAAGCACTCATATTCACATGTACCTTTTTATATATATGCATACATACCTGTTTATGTAACAATATAGATTTTTCAATTGTTATGTGACCTAAACATATTTCAAAACTTTTTTAGTGATAGTAAACATAGCTGGCTACATTCTATCTTTTTTATTCTGCTGAGTTTTCTGACTCTACTGCTTGTTGTTTCTGCATATTTTTTCTTGTAAACAAATGTTTTTGTTCTGTTTTCCTGTCAAGTGCTCACATTGTTTACAAATTGATTTGTTAGAATTTTCAAAGCCCAGATGCTAATATATTCTTCCAGAGAGGATATCTGTTTGTTTTCTTGTTGTACAATCTGGTCTACTTTCAACAAAAATATCTGAGGATATTCAGACCATGCGGTTAGGGAGAACTTATGTTTCATATCCATCTAAGAGACGATATGTGGTAGAAACTCAGAAATATGTGTTTATGCCTCCATTTTCCCCATTTCACCAACACTAATGTGAATGTAACTACCTCTACACTGATCTGAGATATAGGACACCCCTTCATATGGAAAATCTGATCACTTAGAGTCCTTCCAACTTAATGGCAGAGATAATCCTGTTAAGTTTCCCACTTTGAGAACTTTCCAAGCTTTGCCTTGTTTTCAGATGAGACAAGGCCAAAAGTAAAAATGGAAGCCTTAGATTTTCCATATTCAGTAAGTAGGGAATTTTATCATTGGTAAAGAGTTTTGAATATCCCATGGACTGCCATAAGAACAAAGAAATCTGTCTTGGAGAAAATGCAACCAGGGTGCTCCTTAGAGACAAGGTTGCTGAAACTTCATCTCATATATTTTGGACATGTTGTCAGGAGGCACCAGTCTTTGGAAAAAGGCATCATGCTTAGAAAGGTAGAGAGGGTCAGCGCAAGAGAGGACAACCCTAGATGAGATGGACTGACACAGTGACTACAACAAAGGTGTAAGGTGTGTTGGAGATGGTAATGTTGGCTCAGAGAGGACAACTTATAGAACCATTGTTCATACGGTTACTATAAGGTGCGGTCAACTCAACAACACATAACAACAACAACAACAACAAATCCAAAGATTGATGGTTCACAACCACCCAGTGGTTTCACAGGTAAGATGGCACTGTAAACAGCAGTTCAGACTCTCTTCACCAAAGGTATCAGAAAACAAAAGTAACAGATATGGATGATAATTCTGGAACTTTGAGTTTTAAAAGGGAGCTCATGTGACCTAGTCTATAGGGAGCTGCACTGTTAACCCAAAGGAAGTATCTCTCTGGTGGTTCAGATCCACCAATGGCTCCATGGGAGAAAAATGGGTAGTTTCTTCCTATGCAATTTTCAGCCTTCTAAAAACCCACTACAAGGGCAGCTATGAACTGGTTCAATTCAAGTCAATGGCAATGAATGAGTGAGCAAATTTTAAAAAGACAAAGAAGTATTTCAAATGCCAAATGAAGGAAAACAGAATAAATAAACAGAACATCATGGGGACCTGGTGTGCTATCAGTAACCACACAAGTATCACTTCTTCACCGTTTGGCTAAGATCAAGTGTAGTATCCACACCAGTGGTTGGTAGGTGTGATGGCGTCCTTTGTCCTCCAAGCCTCCCAGAGAGCAGGGGAGTGGCTTTCCCCAACCTTCATCCATATATTGTGATCTCAGTCACTACTCAAATGAACAGAAACTTGAACTTAACTGGGTATCCTAAATCCAATCTTCTGCTTTACTGGCAGAAACACTGTATCAGGTCAAACATCTTGTCTTCATCCACCACAGTAATGGCAAGAGGCACCAATCAAGTGCTCAGTCCACACAGCTCCAAGGTCTCTCTTTTTTTTTTCCCCTCTCATTTTCTAGTAGGAAGCTCTGGTGCTTTTTAAATTACTGTTTGTCTTCTGTTTTCTTCTGTATTCTTTTTTCTCTAGCTTTTCCCCTTGCCTTATACTACTCCTTAGTCTTTCTATTCTGATTTTAGGACTGCAGCACAGCTTCTTACCACTACTAGGCCATGAGAGCTCCCTTCAAGAATCTTTGTATTCTTGATATGAACTTCAACCCATATTGAAGGCAGCAATCCTTGACCCTCTGAAGCAAATGCCTCAGGTCCTTATCAGTTTCCACAAGTGAGGCTGTGTCATCTGCATAATGCAGGTTGTTGATGAGTCTTCCTCCAATCCTGATAACACCTTCCTCCTCATAGAACCCAACCTCCTAGATGATCTGTTCTGCATATAGATTGGAAATGTATGGAGATAGGCTGCATCCCTGGTGTACACCTTTCCTGATTTTGAACCATGCAGTGTTTCCTTGCTCTGTCCTGACAACTGCCTCTTGGTCCAAGTATAGGTTTCACATAAGCACAATCAATTGTTCTGGGATTCCCATTCTTCTCAGAGTTAGCCACAGTTTGTTGTGATCCACACAGTTAAATGTCTTTGCATAATCAGTGAAATGCAGACATTCCAGAGCACCTTCAATAACAGTAGTAAGAGAATTAACTAAGCCTCATTTGATGAAGGACAAAGAACTAGAAAGAAACTCCACAAAGTTGCAGAAGAACGAAAAAAATATAATTAACCAAGTGAATCTCATAGGCATATATCTGACAGGACCGCAATATACACAATCTTCTCCAGTGCACATGGAATGTTCTACTGAATAGATCATATGTTAGATCACAAGGTAAAGCTTAATAAATTTAAAAGCATCAAAATATTACAAAGCCATTTCTCAGATCACAATGCTATAAAATTAGAAACCAACAACAAAGAGATCAAGGGAAAGAACACTTTAAAAAGTATCTCGTGACAGTTAGAAAAGAAATAGCAAGCAAAACCTTCAGTCTCCAAAAGAAAGGAATAATAAAGGGCAGAAATCAATGGAATATAAAATATAACTGATGAAACTAGAAGTTGATTCTTTGAGAGTTTTAATGAAATTAATAAATCCCTAGCTAATCAAATATCCTGGCTCTATGAGGAGAAATGTGGCATCATGATTGGAGGTAAACTCATCAATAGTCTGTGTTATGCGGATGATACAACCCTGCTTGCTGAAACTGAGGAGGACCTGAAGCACTTGCTGCAGAGGGTCAAGGACTGCAGCCTTCCATATGGATTAAAGCTCAACATTAGGAAAACAAAGATTCTCACTGGGCCAATTGGCAGCATCAGGATGGATGATGAAGAGATTGAGATTGTTAGCAGCTTTAGTTTGCTTGGCTCCACAATCAACACTCTTGGTACTAGCAGCCAGGAAATAAAAAGACAAATTGCATTGGGGAAGTCTGCTGTCAGAGACCTTTCTAAAGTACTGAAGAGGAACGATGTCAGTCTGGGAACAAAAGTGTACCTGATCCAGGCCATGATTTTTGCAATTACTTGCTGTGCATCGGAAAGCTGGACAATGACTAGGGATGATAGAAGGAGAATTGATACCTTTGAGCTGTGGTGCTGGAGAAGAATATTGAAAATATCACAGACTGCTAGGAGAACAAACAAGTTCATCTTGGAGAGGGTGAAGCCAGGATGCTCCTTGGAGGCAAGGGTTCTGAAGTTTTGTCTAACATACTCTGGACATGTTGCAAGGAGGATTCAGTCCTTGGAGAGGAACATCATGCTTGGGAGGATGGAGGAACAGTACAGGAGAGGAAAACCTTCTCAGAGACAATAAGATTGACATAGGATAGAGCAGGTTTTAGGGCTGTTGTACATAGCATCACTATGAGTTACAGGCAGCTCTACAGCATGTCACAACAACAATCAAATAAAAGGAAATAACACAAATAAGGAAATGAAATGAGTGATGTCACACTAGAAACCAACACTCTATTTTTCGGTTATAGATATTATTTTTAATTCTTTTTTAAATGGTTTTCATTTCTAACTTGGCACATATACATTGCAGTCCCTAGATGGTACAGATGGTTAACAAGCTATGCTGCAAAGTCGAAGACTGGAGGTTGAGTGTATTCAGAGGTGATTCAGAATGAGGAAGCCTGGCAGTCTTAACGGGAAACCACACGTGGACCCAACCAACCATAAGTAAAGGTCCACTAAATGGCAACTGGAATTTATCTAGTTTTGTTCAATGTTGACAGATATAAACAAGATCTCTTTTTTTTCTTTTTAGGGGCGAGGGAGGTCTTCATTAATGTCTTTTGTACATTGATAAGAGCACAAAGATCTAGAAACCAAAAAATTTAAAAACACTGGCATCTCCTGAGGCAAACACTTGAAGGAATACTAAAGATTCTTATAGGAGTGTCAGAACAAAGTGGCAGGTCTCAAAAGTTGCTTTTCAGGGTCCCAGACTCTGCTTGCTGGGCAGGGATGAGGAAGTCTGTTGGGAACTCAAGATATTTCACTTTTCTCTCTCACAATCAGTGTCAGCGCCTTCTACCTGGGTGCAAATTATGTGGCACCAGTTTTAACGCCCATTGGCTCTCCGGTTTATTGATAAGCCAATCATCACCTTCACCACAGTTCCTGATTCTGATCCACCAGCATTCAGATTTTCTCAGACCTGGGTCATGATGCATGGAACCTTTTTCCTGCTGCTGTCAGGGGGCCTGGCCCTGATAGTGAGGCCCAGACCCACCCCCTCCTCCCAATCCCCATGTCCCAGCCCTGTGTCCCCACCCCTTCTCTTTCTCAGTCCACGAGCGCCTGGTCCTGCCCCACCCTCAGGCTCCCACTCTCTGAAACAGCACCGCCGTATCCCGCCCCGAGTGGTGATTCCTGATACAGAGTTGTGGGCTACGTAGAGGACACACAGATCTTAGATGACACACAGATCATGCGCTTCTACAGCGATGCGGAGGATCCAAGGATGGAGCCGAGTCCCTGGGCTCGAGCAGGAGGGGCCTGAGTACTGGGGGGAGGACAGGAATCTCGAAGGTGAACACGCAAACAGACCACAAAGGCCTGAGGGTGTTGTCCAGCTACTACAACCAGACAGGGGCCAGTAAGTGACGGGACCCTCGTCCCAGGGTATGTGTCCCTCATCCCAGGAATGGGCTGGAGTTGGCCTGAGACTTCAGGCAAGAGTTCACCTTGAAGCTACAAGATCTGCCAGGCTCTTCCACGTGGAAAGAGCGAAGCAGACACCCTAAGAGTGGGTTTCATTTTAGACGCTAACAGACTCCTTTGAGTCACTACAGGGCTGGCGTGTCTGGCATGTGGGAGGGGGCCGAGCAGGGGGCGGGGATTCCTGTGGGGGCGTGTCTGACCATGCGGGCGGGGCTGGCGGCAGGGGCGGGGATTTCTGCAGAGACGTGTCTGACATTGTGGGCGGGGAGTGCACACGCTGCAGGGAATGTATGGCTGGCTGTGACTTGGGGCTGGAGGGGGGCCTCTCCCGTGGGTATGTATCATCAGCACGATGGTGTGGATTACACATCCCTGAATGAAGATTTACGCTCCTGGATGGCGTCGGACACAGTTGCTCAGATTTCTAAGCAGAATTTTGAGGCTACCCAGTATGCAGCCAGGTTCAGAGTCTTTCTGGAGGGTGAGTGCTTGGACCGGCTCCGCAGGTACCTGGAGAACGGGAAGGAAACACTGCAGCGCTCAGATGGGACCTTGGAGAACTTCCCTAGGTAGGGACTGTGTCTTCAGCTAGTGTCCCACAAAATAACGCCACAAATCCTTCTCACTGCCATTCAACTCATAGCTGACCCTCTAGTGGGTTTTCAGAGCCTGCTTGGATTTGAACTGCATAGATTTGGATTAGCAGCACAACTCCTTTCATCAATGCCAAAACTCTTTCTCCACTCCGTCCCTAATGGGTCAGGGAGAGAGTTGATGAGTTGGCCCTGCTTCCAGCACCTGTGCTAGATAGATAGAGCTTGATCTGCTCTCTGAGATTACAAAACGATCCAGTCTAAGGATATGGAGGACACAGGCCCCGAAATAATTTCTTGTTGTTATGTACTGTTAATTAGGAGCCAATAATCATCCAGCGAATTTTCAGAGGCAATAAATTGCCGAGAAGAAAACGGCCCATTTTTCTCTCAACGGGCAGCTTCTTGCCTTGAGCCCATTTTTCTCTCAACGGGCAGCTTCTTGCCTTGAGTTTGGCAGCACGACTCCTATAACACTAAACCACCAGCTCCCTTCAGAAAAAAAAAAAACCCAGCCGTCAGTTTTCGTTGATTCTGCATGTGCCCTTAGTAACCATGATGGATTTCTCTCTCTGGCCTTGGCCCCTGTTTCAGACCCAAAATCTTTAGAGGTCTTCCAGCCTTTCAATGTTACAGTCTCCACCCTTATCAGGACTAGAGAGCTCTGGTAAAGAAGTACTTCTGAGACACTTGAAGCCTCCCATCCTGGACTGCCTTACCTTGAGTCTAGAAATTTCTAAAGAGTGGGAGATTATCTCATTCTCCTTCCTGGTCCAGGCTGGTATTTAGGTTTTACATTTCTTCCCTCCTCAAACGTTATCTTGCCCATTCTCTGGATGTTCACATGCATCCTGTTCAAGTGGCCCATAGAAAGTTACTGAATTTTCTAACTCACTCCCTCAGAAGCACCAAAGACACATGTGGCACACCACCTTATCTCTGAACATGAGGTCACACTGAAGTGCTGGGCCCTGGGCTTCTACTCTGTGGAAATCATCCTGACCTGGCAACAGGATGGGAAGGACCTGATCCAGGACACACAACTTGTGGAGACCAAGCCTTCAGGGGATGGAACCTTCCAGAAGTGGGCAGCAGTGACGATGCTCTCTGGAGAGGAGCAGAAATACATATGTCATGTGCAGCATGAGGGGCTGCCTGAGCCTCTCACCCTGAGATGGGTTAAGGAAGAGGAGGGCAAAGAGAAAGTAGAAGCCCTTCTAGGACCTTAGGCACAATCAAGACTCCTCACGTTCTTGTCCCTTCCCTTTCCAGAATCCCTTTCTCAGTTTGCCACGTCTATCTTGGGAATCATTGTTGGCCTGGTTCTCCTTGGAGCTATGCTCACTGAAGCTCTGGTGGCTGGAGTTGAGATTTGGGGGGAAAGGTGTTCAGGTAGAAAAAAGAATGGGGTTAGAGTTGTCTTGCTCCACTGAAGAATTTCAAGCCTCTTTTAGGCGTTTGACTGCTTTCTGCCTTATCTGAATTCCCAGGTGCACATCCACATTTCTTCAGTCTGGGGCACTGTGTGCTAACACTTAACACCTTTATAAAATGAACAGGAAGGACAGCTATTTCCTCTTGATGATTCTGGTGATGAGGATCAGATCCCTATGGTCAGAGGTGGGGGGAAGGTCCCTGCTGTAGTCAGACCTCCAAGATGGGTAATTAGTCTGCATTTACCCTACATGTCACTTATTTTTATTTCTTAACCATGCCCTGGGTCTGCAGTTATGGTTCAGGAGGACAAAACTAACCATTCTTCTAGGACTTCATGGTCCTACCTCTTCTCTAGTAATTCAAAGTCATCTTCACACAGGTTGAGAAGGAGGCAATTATGTTCAGGCTGCAAGTAAGATGGAGGTGTGTGATCCCTGAGACCCCAGGGAAAGTTTAAATAGGAGCCCACGTGGGAGCTCACTTACCTCCTGGTTCCTTCTTTAATCTCATTTTCCTCCTGTGGACTCTGACCAGATTTTGTCTTTGTTCTCTTCCATGTGGTTACAGTGCCCAGAACTCTTGAATTCTCCCTGCTGACTTCTAAAGGTAAGACTCTGGAGGATATGATATGTGGGAGAAGTTAAGGCAGAGGAGACACAACTAGGTTATATGCTTTGTGTTTGGACATTCTGAGTATGTAGTAGTAGGTTGGTCGGCATGAAATCACATAACAGTGACTAACTCAAAATCCAATGACTATTCCAAATCTCTTCTATAGCATGGGACAATGGCCTTGTGTGTAATTGACTGATACAAGATTTCTTCACCCCTACATAGTGATTCCTAGAACTCCTGACTTCTTTGCAAATGGACTCTGCATTCCTATCAGCATAACAGAAAGATGTTCCACCCCACCCATGACAACTGCCTCCCCACAATGACCTGTGACCCTTCCCTAATCTATATTCCTGTTTCAGTGGAGGTGGGGGCTGGAAAGTCTCCATTCCTGTCATAACTTCCTGTTGCTCTGACCGTTACTTCTCACCCCTCCATGCTGAAAATGAGAATCTAGATATTAATGTGATTTTTCAAAAATTTGCCATGACAAAACAACTATGAGATACCATCTCACACCAGCTACAATATAGCAAAGTTCAACAGGGCAGCAAACAACAAATGCTGATGGGGTTGTGGAGAGATTGGCACTTTTATTCACTGCTGGTGAGAATGTAAAATGGTACAACCACTATGGAAAACAATCAGGCACTTCCGCAGAAAGTTGGAAATATATAATGTGACCCAGGAATTCCACCACTAGGAATATACCCTAGAGAATCGAGAGCTGCCACCCAAAGAGATATATGCAAGCCCATGTTTACTGCTGCATTATTCACCATAGCAAAGAAATAGAAGCAACCCAAGTGCCCATCAACAAATGAATGGATAGAAAAACTATTGTATATTCACACAATGGATTACTACGCAGCATTAGAAAAACAAGGAACTCATAAAATATTACACAACATGGGTGACCCTGAAGGACATTATGCTGAGTGAAATATCTCAGTCACAAAAGGACAAATACTGCATAACACCACAGTTATAAAACAAGACTGACATGGCATTGGGGGGGAACTGAGAAAAGAGAGGATAAATAATGAACACTGCATTGGAACATGAAGGAAAGAACTGTTTAAAAGGAATATAAGATTAGGGGAGCTCTGGTGGCCTAGTGGCAAAGAAGCTGTGCTGCAATCCTGAAGGTGTGTGGTTTGAATCTACCAGATGCTCTGCTGGAAAAGGAGGGGCAATCTCCTCCTGTGCCAGTCAGATCCAATTTGATGGCACAAAACAAGAAAATAAAAATAAATAAAAGGAACATAAGATTAGGTATTATCTAGGTATTAGGTATTATGACACCAGTCTAGAATAAGAGGTACATAGCAAAACGGCCTGGGGAGGGGGAAGAAGAAAATTATGCAACAATAATGAATGTTTAAAATGAACTGAGAGGGTAGGGAGGAAAATGGACAAGAATGAATGAATGAATGAAAATCCAACTTTTTTGTGAACTTCCATTAAAAATCACAATTAAAAGATTGCTGTGAACTGGAGCGCTCTGGTGGCCTAGTGGCAAGAAGCTGCACTGCAATCCCAGAGGTGAGCTGTTCGAATCCACCAGATGCTCTGCTGGAGAAGGAGGGACAATCAGACAATCTCCCCCTATATCAGTCAGATCTGATTTGACGGTACACACACACACACACACACACACACACACACACACACAATTGCTGTGAATTGTGGTTGGTGGGTTAATCAAAGGATAAGAAAACTTGAGAGTCAATAAAATGAACATCTGAGAACTTTCTCAAATGCTATTCTTCTGTGCTGAACCTGTTGCAGGCAGGACAGGGAAAGATCGCGAAATAACAGCATAGATAAGGCCTGTCCCCAGTGATGCTCAGTACTTGGGCTTTGACATGGTTACTCCTGAGCTGGACCATCTTCATGGCCCTGTTGTCATGGTTTCCTTAGTCGAAGGTTATCCTACCAGAACTTGTGATCACAGAGCCTCAGTCAGACGTCATCTAGGCTGATTCTGTCTCCAGGATCCAGGACAGTGAAGGCTTTGTGTAGCTATTAACTCTGAGCAGTTTTCATTCTCATCATGTGGCTATTTTGTGTCTTTATTTTTATAGGACTTTATGTTACTTTTGTTCTTCCTGTTCTTAGTACAGTCATTGAGTGCTGCCAGCACTGGAGTGGTTTTTTTTTTTTAATATGTAATTTTTAAAAATTTTTTTTTATTTCAATGAACATCTACAGAGATTTTGGAATTCTATTCATTCATTGTTGCTGGAGTGGTTTTTCTGTCACTGTCCCCACAAAGCCCAGGCTGACCTCTGCACATAGGGGTCTTTATGATATTGAGAAATTAATGTTGAGACTAGTCCAGCTCTTGTCCTCTTTGATGGTTAAGACCATATGTCGAATTAGCTTTGATTCTTTGGTTTGACATTTATGTAATGCTATAATATAGCAGTAATGTAATAATGCAGATATCCTTTAAGGTGTGGTCTTATATGACCAATTCTTATCCAATACTGATAAAAAAGATTAGGATGGGATGTTGTGAGGTGCCATCAGGCCACACTGATCCTGTGCCAGCCTCTTGATGTGGTCACAGTCCTGATGAGTTGTTGTTGTTAAGTGCCACTGAGTTAACTATGACTCATAGCAACTTCAAAAACATCATATATGAACTATTTAGTGCCGTCTCACCATCTCTGAAATGCCTGAGCTCATTAATACAGTCACTGTGTTAATTCATCTTGTTGAGAGTTTTCCTCCACCTTGCAAAAAAGGTCATTACAAAGCCAGAGAAAGAAGAAAAGACCAAAATTATGTAGAAGAGACTCTGAATATTTCACTAGAGTGCCAATAAGCCAAAACAAAGGGAAGAAATTAAGGAGCTGAATAGAAGATTTCAAAGGGCAGCTTGGGAAGACAAAGCAAAGTATCACAATGAAATGTGC